GCCGCTGACGGACTCCCTCCGGAGAATCCGAGCCGTTGGCTCGTCTCCCCTCGTCCTGAGCAACCACCCGGTGTACTCGCTTTCGCCTGTATCGCCGTGGTTCGCTCCGCCGCTCGCCGCTGTCGTCCGCCGTCCGTTCCGGCCGGCGTCGTCGTCTACCTCCCGCCGGCCCGCGTGGCAGCCACGTAGGCGCCACGTCGGTGCCAGCTCGGCCGAGATCGGATCGGGCCGATCCCGGTCAGCCCCTCCCCATGCGCGCGGTCCACCGCGAGCCGAGAGGCTGCGCGTGGGCCCGCCGCATCCGCGTCCACCGCGAACCGCGCGCGTGCACCGCGTCCCTCCCCCACCCTAGCGCCGCGCCGCGTGCTCCCTCCGCACAGTGAGCCGAGCCGCTGACAAGCGGGTCCCACCTAGGACCGCGCGTGGTGAGCCCGGTCCACCGGCTCACTCTCCCCTCCCGCGCGCGCGCGCCTTGGGCCGTCTTGGGCCGGCCGGCCCATCTAGCTCGGCCGGGCCGCCCCATCTCTCTCGGGCCGCGCCCTAGCCGCCCGAGGAAAAGTCTAATTTCCATCCCTCTTTTCTTTTCTTTTTCAAAAAGGATTTAATTAAATCCTTTTCCTTTAGACCAAAAATCCAATAATCTTAGAAATTCAATATCTTCCCAACCGTAAATCCGTTTGACTCCGTTCAACTTCCAAAATTCCTCAAATCTCGAGATCTATCTAATGGCAAGCTTAGAGGTCATTAATAGGGCTTTATTTTTGCCGTTTGTTGAGTTGTCCCGTTTCGCGTGTAGTTTCGGAGCCCGAAAATCCGCAGCGCGAGGATTTCGAGGATCAAGCTCCAGATCTCGAGCAAGGCAAGCCACCTTTGAACATCTTAAGCCTATATTTGAAATTTAATTATATTGCTTGCAAAATATTATGCATTGATAGGATCGCACTTAATCTGTTGTCCCGTCTGCAAGACAGATTGGCGGACCTACCTAACTTGTTGCATTTGATCCTTCCATTGTTAACTGCTACACCATGTCCCCTTATAACCATCTAGTTGCGCCTCGATATTCGTGCACTCTGTGCGAGTATCGACGGTCGCCTTCAAACTTAAAATCTGAGTAACAACTTGGGTAAAACTGGAGTTTTACAAAAGACTTGGAAAACCCGACACCTGGGTCGGTGCTTGCGAACTAAATGAATTTCCAAAACCGCGGATCGGGGAACGTACCGGGTGTACGGTTTTCCCGCTCTTGCACTTAAGGACCGTTTCCTTGGAATTTCATCCGAACATAAGATAAGTACGACCACATGGGTGGAATGGGACACCCCTGGCTGAGTAACTAGCTTATCAGGGGAGCCTTGATGCCAAGAGACATGTCGATTCGCCGGGGTGGTGTCGGAGAGGACCTCCTGGGCTTCCTCGCACAGTATGGTCTGGGACCTAACCTGTTGTTGGTCTGGGACCCCTCTCGTCGGCATATGGTAAACCTGTGTCGGCTTTGGAAATGCCTTTTCATGAAAGCTTGGAGGTCTCCCGACGTGGCTGATCCCCACGGGCTGGGTGATCCGGGTTAGTAATGTCGTGTGGGTAAAGTGTACCCCCTCTGCAGAGGTTAACAAACTGTTCGAACAGCCGTGCCCACGGTCATGGGCGGATGTGAGGTGATTCCTAGCGTAGTTTTGTTTGACTACTGCTTGTGAAATTGCTGTTGTGGAAAGGGGTTCGCTGTTTGAAAAATCTGCAGCTGATAGGATCAGCTAGGCCCGGGTGGCCGTTTGAAAGTTGTTGGCCCGGGTGGCCGTTTGAAAAGCGGTTGGCCGGGTGCCAACCTTGTTTTCAATTTTAAAGACTGATACTGTAACGTCCCGCCTCCCCCAAGCCGGGCCCACTTACATCTGATAGCTTTCATAGGTCATAGACTGCCATCACAGACCAACATATGTCTTTTCTGCACACTTTGTCCTCACTCGTGTGCACCCGGGAAGAATTTCCCGGTCGGCCTCCCCCAAGCCGGGCCCACTTACATCTGATAGCTTTCATAGGTCATAGATTGCCATCACAGACCAACATATGTCTTTTTTGCACACTTTGTCCTCACTCGTGTGCACCCGGGAAGAATTTCCCGGTCGGTCACCCATCCCAAATTGCTCCAGACCAAGCACGCTTCCGGAAAAGAAGTTGCAACTTGTTGATATGAGTATTCTATTAATCCTATTAAGCCCTAGGCCGGGATGTTACAGATACATTGCACATACTCCGACCGGACGAGACGCACTGTCTCAACCGTGTCGTTTGAGAAGCACTCACTTAGTTTTTTTAGAAAAGAGTTCAAATAAAATCAACTGCAAAAACAACAGCCTCTTATTGAAGCCTGCATTAAACACTTATTTTCCCTTGGTTTGCTGAGTACTCCCGTACTCACCCTTACTCTATATAAATAATCCCCCCCAGTTGCTGAAGAAGATGAAGCGGATCCTGCTGATGAGGAGTTCTTTCAGGAGCAAGCCGGCTACGATGAGTTTTAGGGTTTCGGCCTAGTTCCCAAGTCGCGCCTGTGTTGTTTGGTCCAAGTCCTGCTTCCGTTTCCCTTTTGTAATGCAGTTGTGAGCACGGAATCTGTCCGTAGCCCAACATGACTGTATCTCTACTCTATAATAAAGAGACCGCTGTTGCTATGATAATCTGTCTCCCTGTGATACCAACACTGTTTCCTGGGACTGGTATCAATCAACAGGTTAATTTGGAGCGTCACGGGCTAGTTTCGGTCGGTACTAGTTCGGGGCGTGACAGGCTTTTACTCTAATAAACTCCACATAACAAGCAGGAACAAAGCAAAAAATGGGTTCTTGACTTCTTAAGGAAAAATTAGAGACTTGAACGGTCCAATTCCGAGTTCAAATGGCCAAGTTATGGCCATTTGAAGTTTATATGCTCTTTAAATGAATATTTACGAATTTCTTCATTTAAATTTTAATTTAAAAAGGGTTTATTGTGTCAGCCGGGGGAGGGGCGCGCGAACTGGGTCCACGGGAGTGGGGCCCACGCGGCAGCCTGACGGTCCACGGTGGACCGGGTGCACCCGGGCTCACACCGGCCGGCGCCGTGGGCCCCACGCGTCAGCCGCACCCGAGGGCGCGGGCGGCAGATGGCCGGGCCCCACGCGGCAGCAGCTCGGCGAGCCCGAAGGCGGCCACGTCGGCGCGGCCGGCGGGAGGCGGCGCACCCGCGCCCCTATGGTCGCCGGCGGCGGCCATAGGCACGGCGGAGCGGCGGCCGAGAGAGGGGAGGGAAAGGGGGAAACGAGGTGGCGGTCCACGGCTCACCCTAGGTCGACGGCGATGACGAAAAAGGCAGCCGGAGCGGATGAAGGCGGCGGCGCGGCTCGGGTGGACGGGGACGGCTGCGCTCCGACGGTCGGCGAGCTCGACGAGAGGGTGGACGGGGTCGACGGCGGTGCGGCAAAGCCGGAGGAGTCCGCGCCGGGGCGGGAGGCGGTCCCGGCGAGCGGAGAGGGTCGGCCGAAGGTCGTCGGCGATGGAGGAGAGAGAGGGCGACGGCGCGAGCTCGATTCCGGCGAGGAGAAGGCGCGGCAAAGGGTGGAAACGGGCGAAGGAGGTGCGGGCAGGGTTTAAATGGGGTTGGAAGGAGGAGAGGGCGGCCGGCGGGGGAGGAATAGGCGCGGGAGGTCCGGCCGCCATCAATGGCGCCGGCGAGATTTGCGCGAGCAAATCCGGCCATTTGAATGCGAGAGAGAGAGGGAAAAATGGGGGGAAAGGGAGAGGGAATCACAGGGAGTAATTCCCCCCTATTAATTTCACGCGGGGACGACGGGAGGCGGCGGGATTAGCGACGGCGGTGGCGCTAGGCGCGGGCGAGGCGGCGGGAGCGGCGGGAGGAAGGGGATGACGGGTGGGCCCCACCCGTCAGTGAGGGTGGCGGGCGGGCCCGCCCGTCAGTGGCGCGCGCGAGGGGAGGGGCCTAATGGGCCGCGGGGGAGAGGAGAGAGGGGGAGGGAGATGGGCCGAGCCGGCCCAGGAGAGGGAAGGAGGGATTTTTAAGGTTTTTCTTTTTATAAAACCTTTTTAACTTTGTTTATTTCTTAATAATTATTATTTGTGCTCCGAAAATTCCACTAAAATTTATTTACATATTTTAGGCTTTTAGGAAATATACAAAAATCCTCCAAGCCTTAATTGACTTTTAACTTTGCATATTTTAATTTTTGGAGGCTTTCATAAGGATTTTAATTATTCTAGGCATAATTTAAAGGATGTATTTTAGGGTCGTTTTGGGACGCAACAAGATGTAAGCTACGGCTGAACTCCGTTATCAAATATCGTGCCTCGGTGTCGTCATTATGTTTGCATCTCCTATGGTGTTTTCTTCCGCGTTTAGCTACCGATGTCGATTTCGGGGCTGGTTTTATGTCAATGACGTGGTGCATTTTGCGCTGCGAAATTGCCACAGATTCCCAGGTTTTCTGCTTTTGCTACCATTGTTTAAATAAAACAGAGCAAAACAGAGAGTAAGGGCATTCAGATCACAACAGGAATCATTGGAAAGAAAACAGGGGAACATGAAAAATGAGTACTAAGAGCAAGTTCAATAGTATAGCCCACTACTAGCTCCAATTCATCTATAACCAATCTAATAGCAAATTCATACAATAGTTACTTACTATACTATTAATACCTGGTCCCACCTGTCATACGCACATCACGTCTTGGAGTCCGTGTTGCAGCTGGCTACAGATATGTAGCCCGTTGCTCTTCTCTCTCCTCTATTATCTTATTAAAATATATTTGTAGCTAGCTTATAGCCTACTATTGTACTTGCTCTAAGCATCAGTTTACTACTCAGAGGATCAGATCATGGCCAGGAGTGAGTTCTCATCCCTGGGCACTTGGTCAGGCAGCAAGCAGCAGTATGATGTGCTGTTGCTGCCTGCTGGCCATTTAAGAATTCATGTCTCAAACAAAATGCTTCCACGTTCCAACCAAACCTTGAATCAAGTAAAACAGGTGATATTGAAAAACAAGCATAGTGTAAAAAATCACGCATTACAGTTTGGTGGCCAATATGTTCAGTATTTCTGTCTCAGTCTAGTTGGGACTTATTGTAACCGAGACAACCATTATTACAAACCACGCTATATAAATCCTTGAGAGAAAAACAGGGAAAGAAAAACAAAAGCAAGAAAAAATAAAGGCCCAGCGATGGAGATGAGCTTCTCTTCAGTTCCGCTCAACTCTTCGCCCTTTAATCTTCTTCTTGCCCTGCTGCTGCTGCTGTTTAATTACAGCCAGGAAGAAAAGTTAGAGATCATGGTATGATCAAAGTTGAAGAATGTCATGAAGATGTCGATGTGCATCTTTGGTACGTACATGTACCTGAAAGCATGACCGAATGAGTGCAGAGAGCCAGTTCAAGATTAGTTCGTAAAATCTCCTCCTCCTTCTCTTCTTTGGCTGCATCACTGTCCAGCTGAAACAGGCAACAAATTAACCACTAGTCAGTAACCAAGAGCATGTAATTAATCACGCAACCAGAATCAAATAGGTGCTGCCACGCGCAAGTGCAGCACCTCTTGGTCCATATGTGCTGAAATCTCATCGTCACTATTTCCGTCAACATGATCCTTAGCTGAAATCTCTCCCTCATCGTTATCTTCATTTCCTTTCATCTGGTACTGGAAAAGAAATTACGAGAGCAATATGAACTGAGGAACGAAATACACCAACAGAACAGACAACAAGTAAAGCAGCTTGGTTACAGAATTTGGAGAGCAGTCAGAAGTGGGGAAGCGTGCATGTAGGTAAGGGAATGTGAACTAATCAATTGATTAATCATGATTAACCAAATCAGCTGTACCTTTCAAAGTTGGTGCATGACAATTGCAGGACGGTTCGGGTGAGCATTCACCATGCGCCTCCACGCCGCCTCTTCTTCCTCCACCTGCCTGGTAGTCGCATCACAGCAGTCGAGGATAACTTCGACGCGATTGAGCAGAAGGAGGTGCCCCAATCCAACGTCAGTGGCGGCACAATATTCAGACGCCCACAGATATAATTCAATCTGCGTGAGCATCGGCATGGCTCCTTGAAGAAATGCGAGTGCTATGTCCATCCTACAGAATCTCAGGTTCGGAAACAGTCCGGCACCACCAACTGTCCACGAAAATCTCGCCTGGGTTCTCAGGCAGAGTGTGCGGAGTGCTGGCATCCTTGCAAGCATGTCCAGGTCCCGTGCTTCCATGGCTACCACGTCAAGTCGCAGCTCGGATAGGTACGGGACGCACATGGAGTTCACCCACGCTGGAAGCCGAGCCAGCTCCACGTCAAATATACAGAACTCACGGAGCTGCGGCGGGGGCTCCCAGTGATCCCAGCCTTGCCAGATCATCGTACTCTCACAAAGCCAGAAATCTATCCTCAGGTTCCGGAGTCTACGCAAGCCGCACAGAGACTGTAGCAAAGCCTTCTCCGTGCCCTCGTCAAACTTATCTAGACTAATACTGAGGATTTTCAGCTCCATCAGCTTGCCCACCTCCATGGCGATGTCTGCGATACTTTTGATGGAACCTTCGGCCAACTCTAGGTATTGCAGTGAACTCAGATTCCCAAAACCCATTGGCACGGTCGTTATTCCAAAGACGCATAGCCGCATCAGCTTGCTTAGCTTGCAAATGGTCGACGGTAGTTCCCTCAGACCTATTTCCCAGACATCTAGTGCCTGCAAGTTCACGAGATCCCCTATTTCAGTTGGAAGCTCAGCAACACTTGTGTTTTTCATTCCTAGGTACCTCAGCTGACGTAGTTTCCCGATATGCTTGAGGTATAAACCTCCCGTGACATTACAATCATCTAGATCTAGCACGCGTAGAACATGGAAGCTCAAAAGCGAGGGCATCATGTTAATATTACAGTTGATGGCATTGAATGACCTCAAGTGTGTCATGCCAACAGCCAGGTCATTATTTTTGCCTTGGTTCCAACTCTTGTGCAGTGCAATCCTTCGGATAGTTGTCCTCTGTGAAGACAGACCGTGCATCTCATGTAATTTGTCGAATACTTTTACAAAGTTTCCTTCAGTTGCTATCTTTCGGATGAGATCTAACACCATGTCATGTATGCGGCAGCCACTCACGTTACAAAATTCCTCAATTGGCTGGATCATGCTTTTATTTATAAGCTCAATAAAATACCTCTCGCCGACCTCAAATAACCCCTTATCTTGTTCCTCATGGACAAAGCCTTCGGCTATCCACTTCCATATCAAAATATCCTTGTAAATCAAATGATCTTCTGGATATATGCTTAGGTACAGCATACAAGTCTTTAGGTATGAGGGCAAATGATAGTAGCTAAAAGACAATATCTTCCGCATGTTTTGAACTGCCTCATTTTGATCTCCAGTCCCAAAACTAATAGAGTCATAAATTACGGACCATTCCCTCGCAGGTTTATCAACCAACAAACTAGCTATTGTAATTATAGATAGAGGTATGCCACCACATCTCTTTAAGATCTTTTCGGTTGCCTCAACCGATTGATTATCAGTTGGACCATTGCAGGCAACACCAAATATTCTATTGTAGAATAACGTTTTTGAGTTATCATCAGAAAGTGGTTCCATCATGTAAACATCACCAAATTCTTTAGCAACTTCATTGGCCACTTGACGAATCCGAGTTGTTGTGATTACTCTACTTCCACAACTACTATCAATCAGAGCAAGTTTAATAATGTTCCATTTTGATGGCTCCCATATGTCATCAATAACAATCAAGTACCTACCCCAATGATAATAGAAGGGACATGTATTAGTGAAATGATAAACCGTACATACGTACAAATAAGAGATTATTTAATTCTCATTTTCTCAAACTGAAGCAATATGAGTGCCCAAAACAATAATGTGCAAAGATAATTCTCATTTTATTATTTAATTCTATTGAATCAAATGGTTTTTAGATCAAATTGGTCCCTTGCACTAGCAACGAGTGGTTTAATGTACACTGGTGGAGAAACCATCTTTGGTTGGTCCGGCAAAATCCACAATAGTCCCGGATCCAAAAAGAACCGGGACTAAAGATTGTTTTTAGTCCCGGTTATAAAAATTTTGATCTTTAGTCCCGGTTGGTAACACCAACCGAGACAAAAGATGATCTTTAGTCCCGGTTCATCCCCTGTCAGATGTATGTCAGGGAGCCGAGGATCTTTAGTCCCGGTTGATGTCAATAACCGGGACTAAAGATCACCACTTTAGTCACGGTTGGTACTACCAATCGGGACTAAAGATGATCTTGATCTTGATCTTTAGTCTCGGTTGGCAGCACCAACCGGGACTAAAATTAAACACGTAGCATATAATCCCTATCCCTTATCCTCTCCTCCACAGTTACAACTTAGACAGATTGAATCTCACCCCTCTCCTCAGATCTATCCTCTCTAACACTCTTCTCCAACTCCTCCCCTTCCTCCTCTCATCCCCTTCTCTCCCCTTCCTCCTTCCCTTCCCGGCCGGCTTCCCCTTCCCATCCGGCGGGCCGACCGGCAGCGGGGCAGCGCGCTGCGGCGGCCGGCGGCGGGGCGGCTCCCGGCGGGGTCGCGCCCGGCGGAGGGCGGCGGGGCTTCGGGCAGCAGCAGGCGGCGGGGCCGCACGCGGTGGCGGGCGCCGGGGCCGCGGCCGGCGGCGGGTGGCGGGGCCACGCCCGTCGTTCGTGGCGACCGGCGGCGGCAGCGGCTTCTTTTTTTTTTAATTTGTGATGATTCACTGTGATGTATTTGACTGAGAAGTTACAAATTTGTGATTCATTGTTTGGATCTATGATGTATTTGAGTAATTTCTTAGGATATTGTGATGTATTTGATTTGTGTGTATAAGTAACTTTATAATTGTGATGTGGATTTGGTGATGTGATTTTGAAATGTTAGTTAGATTTGGGGATTGATTTGGGGATTTGCCTACTTGATTCGGGAGAAAATAAAAATAAAAAAAGAAAAAGAAAAAGGAACCATATGCACTGCCGCTATTGTCTTTTTAGTCCCGGTGGGTAAAAAGATCCCCTCTCTTTAGTCCCGGTTGGTGGTACCAACCGGGACTAAAGATGTATCTTTAGTCCCGGTTATTTCAACCGGGACTAAAGATGGACATCTTTAGTCCCGGATCCTTACTCCCGGTTGGAAAACCGGGATTAAAGGGGGGTTCTCAACCGGGAGTAAAGATGGTTTCTCCACCAGTGGTAGTTAGATGGTCAAATACATTTTCCTGTTCTGCAATTAACATTAGAATATATTCGTAGCGGTTTCTTTTTATTAAAGAAATATAGAAAAAGTTTTATATACCAGTAATACAGATAAAGATCTACAGCTATCACAACCATAAGCTAATAAAACATTGTTCTAGTAGCTTATCGAACTCCCATGAGCATAAGTTAAACATGAAAGACAAAAAAATGGTGGGTACTACACACTAACCTTCTATTGTCAAGGTATTCTCGAAGCTCATTAATCATATGCCTTTCACTTACTCCTGTTACATCAAATGACATGTACTTGTCCTTGTTAAGTTCAACTAGGATGTCCTTCAGGACTTTCTTGATTTCATGGTCTTGACCGACGGGAACAAAAGCAGCACAATCAAATTGCAGTTTAAGCATGTCAAACACTACTTTGGAAAGAGTTGTCTTGCCTAAGCCTCCGATTCCAACAACAGAGACCATCTTGAGTTTCTTGGGCGCCTCATCCCCCACGGACAACCTCCTCATTAGATCATCACTTGCCTTATCAATGCCAACAAGCTTGGTGACATTCTCATATAATGTCAAGATACGAGGATCCACATATGTTGGAAGATTAGTAGCGACATCATCAATCTTGTACCTATCGCGTCGTTCCATCACCTCCTTAACTTGGCTCTTGATATCTTTGATTTCATTGGCTATTTTGTGACGGATCTTTATCTTGGACAATGACTCGTGGCACTTGTCGATTAACCATGTGAAATTATGTTTCTTGGCTGGCTCAAGACCATCCACTCGTACCATGAACATATCGATGTTGTCCTCAATGTCATAGGACAATTCCCTAATGTCCCAAGCCCAGATCTTGGTTTGCTTGTCAAGTTGGTCTAGGGGCACCTTTGAGATCTTCTCAAGGGCAGCTTGTATGCTCTGGAGCTCAGCCATGAGGAATGTTATCCCCTCCTTCACACTATTCTGCAGATCATATTCTTCCTTGAGCAGCTCCGCTAGCTTGGGGAAGAGCGTGCCCATTGCCCCTGTGGCGAACTCCATTCCTGATGGTTCACTACTCCCCAACTCTCTATTTCTTGTGATGATTATGAGGTGCTGTTCACCACCAGACAACTGCATGGTGGAATGAAAAGCATATGAAGAAATCTGTTAGCAATGGATGCATGTGTAATTTGGCAAGTATTGAAGGATGGGAAATTTTGGCAAAAGAGCTGGCATAGCATGTTTACACATAAGGTGGAGTTTTGAAAGAATACAAAACTGAATAATTGTTGAAACTGCTGAAGGTATTAAATAGATGACAGAAATACAGTTATCAGGTAATCAAGTACCGTTGCTAGCCAAACTCACTCAATATCTGTATTAACAATAATATTTGTCAGAGACTAACAACAATAATTCAGGATCCAAATGAATCACATCAAGCTCTCATAGTCACAATAAAGCACAAATCCTTCAATTGTGTAAAAATGTTTCAGATGTTCTTTCAAATGCAGAAAAGAGAAGATGGTCGCGGCATCCTCTGTAACTTTAACTCTCACTGGACACAACTATCAGATGACCAGATCATACATTGTTTGCTCAGATCTGGCAGTACCAATGACCGGTTCATACAAGAAACTAAACGTTGCTATTTGCTTCGGTCCCAATTTTACACAATAAATCCCAGTCTACCCAGATTAATTGCCGTGTGTTCTGCAAAGGAAAAAGTACGAATTACCCCCCTAACCATAAAACCGGACGTTTTTAACCCTGAACTATGTATACCGGATGAATAACCCCCCTTATCAAATCTGTAGCGGTTTTATCCTACGTGGTATACACACGTGGCAATTCAATCAAGAAAAAATAAATAAAAACCATGGGCCCCAATTGTCATACACCTCTCCTCTCTCCTCTCTCTGTCAGTCCTCATCTCCTGGCGATGTGGGGGCGTAGCGGAGAGGCGGTGCGGCTGGGGTGGCAGGGGCGAGGCGAGCGGCAGGCATGGCGGAGAGGCGGGTACGGCAGGCGCACGGTGCTCGGTGAGCGGCACGGTTGGCAAAGGCGCGGCGAGCAGCGGGCATGGCGGAGAGGTGGGAGGCCACTACGGGCGAGGCAAAGCAGTACGCCTCGTCAACGCATTAGATATTGAATGTGTGCTGGATCAGCTGGTCTTTCCCATCACCGCTGACATGCTGGACCGCCGTCGACGTGCATGTTCATGGAGTGAATTTTCTGGTCCTGCTGTTCAGGACACATGGTCGGCTGTCACAAGGCCATAGTGCCCGAAGACGGAGCCGTTGGCGGATGGTGACACTAAAGCCCTAATCAGCCTTGCAGAAGATGCGGACGATGGGATCAGAGTCACCGCGGGGTGTGTTGGCGCTGGCGCTGACGTAGGCCTCGTCGCTGGCACCATATCCTCTCCACCGTGCCGCCATGGACCAATCTCCACCGCCGCTGCGCTACTCCCTGTGCCACCGCTCTAGGCCGCCAACCGGGGTGCTTGCCTCGACGCTGCTCCGCTCACCTCCACCGACTGCCCACCGCTCCCGACGGTGCCCTTGACTCCGACGGTGCCCTCTTCGCCTCCACTCCTTGTTGTCCCGGCGGCAATACGAAGTCAACACCGCTAGTGGTCGAGGATAAGGGGAAAGAGAGAGAGGTGAGATAGTCGCCCCACTATTTTTTAAAAGAAAAATGCTGACTGGATTGCTACGCGTATGCCGCATTGGACAAAATCACTCTGGATTAGCTTGAGGGGGGGTTATTTGTGCGGTATAGACAGTTCAGGGTTAAAAACATCCGGTTTTATGGTTTAGGGGGGTAATTCGTACTTTTGTGATAGTTTAGGGGGATAATTCGTACTTTTTCCTTCTGCAAATGTTTTAGATGTTTTTGTAGACACCAAACAATCCAGAACAGACAAGTGTTAACCTACAAACTGCACTTGAAAAGTAGGAGTATACTTGATCGAATACAACTCACTGACCTTGCAAAAGAAGTAGAGAGCCAAGCTCTTGTTCTTGCTGCTGGTGTTAGAGTGCGCAGCCCGTCCTAACCAACCGTGGACCACCCAGGTCACATTGGGCCTGCTCCACCACAGGCCCAACCAGAGCCACAATTTTAGGTCCTGGGCCTATACAATCCAAAACACTAGTATGATGGGTGAGGACCGCCCCCACTTTTTAAGTTGTGCTCTCCCATCATCAATTACCGATGTGGCACTAAACCCAACAATCTCCCCCGTCATACATCGGGCCTAACAAATCTCCCCCGTCACATTAACCCATGTGACCCCGAAGATCTGTTACCTGGCCTTCCTACCATGTAACCCATGGAAATTGTTCTAGGTTCCAAACTTGAGCCCTGATACCCCTTGTTAGAGTTTTGTGTCGAATATGTGTACGTAGTCGGTTACAGTTTAGGACTTAGAGTTGTATCAGGTATTAGGACTAGAGTAAGACTCGGACTCTATCCTAGTGTAGCGCCCGTTCCGTCGTGGCGTCTAGCGGGAAAATTTAAATTCTAAAAACCCTATTTGCGAAAATTGTTTCTTTGCTTGTAGTCAGTCTCCGTGCCAATTCCAGATCTCAAATCCCGAATCCAATTCCTTCCCAAATCGAATTCCTCCGCAAAAGTCTAGTTTGCCTCCCTCAGGTTCGGTGGGCCGATTTCCCTCTCGGCCCATCTTTCTCTCTCTCTCTCTCTCTCCCTCCCTCCCTCCCCTCCCTCGCTTTGCCGTGCGCCGCACGCGCGTGCGCGTGCGCGAGAGCCGCGCCAAGCGCCCCCCTCGCTCTCCCTCTCCTCGCCTCCATCCCCGGCGAGCTCCCCGCCCGTGAAATCGGCCCCCGCGCGCCGTTGCTTCGCGCGTGCGCCCACGTGGTCGCCGCCCGTGCCGCGCCTGCGCTGTCTGCGCCGCCCAGCCCCGCTGCCCTGCCGCGCCTATAGCCGCGCCGCTCAAATCGCCGCGCGCCGTTGCTTCCCGCGCGCGCGCGCCGTGGTGGCCGACCGCCTGGTCGCCGCCGCCGTTAGCGTCTGCCGCGCCTGCCCGCACCTGCCGCCTGTGTCGCCGCTCCACTCCACACCACCCCGCCGTCATCGCCGTCGTCACGACCCGACCCTGCCACCTCCGCGGCATGCTTCCAAGGGTTGGAGGCAGAGCTCCTCCTCCCACTGCCTTGTCGCCCTCTCTTTTCTTCCTTCTTTTCCCAAATAGGCAAGAGGCAAGCCCCCCCTTTCTTTCTTCTTTTTCCATTTTCTCTCTTCCTCCGCCGGCGTCATCCTCCCTGTCGCCGTTTTGGCCGCTAGCCGGAGCGCCAGCTCGCTGGCTTGACCACCCAATGTCGGTTCCTCCCTCCCAAACCGACATTGTCGCCCCTATAAATCCAAGGCGTCCTCCCTTCCTTTCCCTCTCCCTTTCGCCCTCGCTCCACCGCACCATTGCCCCCCTCTATCTCGCCTCCGCCGTTCGTCGCTAAAGCACCGGGAGAGCCGGTGCGTGTGAAGGACGCGTGAAGGGGACTCCGGGCGCACGTCTTCCTCCTCTTCACCGGCCCGAGGCCGGAGCGATCACGCCGCGCGCCGTCGGCCATCGTCACTACGCCCGCCCGCACGGTAGTGCATCTCCCCGTTCTCCCTCCTCGCTCTATCTCCTCCCCTTATACTCGGGTAGTAGCACGAGTAGACCCCCCTCTTAGCTAGCTGGCGCCGCCCCAACCCTTGCCGCCGCTCGCTGTGTGCTCGCCGCCGTTGCCGCCCGAGCTCGATAGCGCCTCTCGTCGCCGGCCTCGCTCGGCGTAGCTCCGCCCAATCCGGCGCTAGAATCAAACTCCGGAGACTTCGTAGATGCTCTAGTGTAAATGAATCGAACCCTAGTCGTCTCGTCGCCGTTTCCCTCTTCTCTCGGCGCCGGTGGTCGCCGCCACAATCCGCCGCCGTCGAACTCCCTCCGGCGAATCCGAGCCGTTGGCTCATCTCCCCTCGTTCCGTGCAACCTCCCGGTGTGCTCGCCTTCGCCTGCCTCGCCGTAGATCACCCCGTCGCTCGCCGCCGCCGTCCGCCGTCCGTTCCGGCCGGCGTCGTCGTCTTCCTCCAGCCGGCCCGCGTGGCAGCCACGTAGGCGCCACGTCGGTGCCAGCTCGGCCAAGACCGGGTCAAGCCGACCCCGGTCAGCCGCTCCCTCCGTCCCCGCTCGCGTGCACGCGGCCCACGGAGAGCCAAGAGGCTGCGCGTGGGCCCGCCGCGCACCACGTCCACCGCGAGCCGCGCGCGTGCACCGCGCCTCCCCTCCCCAAACCCTAGCACGCCCCGCGTGCACCTCACTCACGGTGAGCCAAGTCACCGACAAGCGGGTCCTACTCGGAACCACGCGAGGTGAACCCGGCCCACCGGCTCCCTCTCTCCTCCCCTCCGCGCGAGCCCCCTTGGGCCGACCCTCAGGCCGGCCGGCCCAATGGCAAGGCCGGGCTGCGCCAACCCCTCTCGGGCCACGCTCAAGCCGCCCGCGAAGTCTATTCCCCCTCCCTCTTTCTTTTCTTTTTCAAAAAGGATTTTAATAAATCCTTTTCCTTTAGACCAAAAATCCAATAATCTTAGAAATTCAATATCTTCTCAACCGTGTATCCGTTTGACTCTGTTCAACTTCCAAAAATCCTCAAATCTCGAGATCCAGCTAATGGCACGCTTAGAGCTCAATAATAGGGCTTTATTTTCGCCGTTTGTTGAGTTGCCCCGTTTTGCGTGTAGTTTCGGAGCCCAAATACCCGCAGTGCGAGGATTTCAAAGATCAAGCTCAAGATCTCGAGCAAGGCAAGTCACCTTTGATCATCTTGCACCTATAATTTAAATCTAAGTATTTCTCTTCCACAAATATTGCATGAATAGGATTAACACAAGTAAATCGGCCACGGCTTGCGAGATAGCCTGCCGGCCCCAATCCTAATTGCTGCAATTACCCTCCTTGAATTATTGAACACTTAAACCTCCTTTGTCGACCGTTGTGCTTCGATGCACGGGCCTTCGCACACGCGCATCGGAACACCTCCCCTCAAATTTAAAATATCCAACGATGGGTAAAACTTGGGGTTTTACAAAAGACTTGGAAAACCCGACACCTGGGTCGGTGCTTG